TTGGGTTCATGTACGCGCCGTCGACAACGTCGTTACACAGTTGTTCTTCAAGGGCCCAGGGCAAGGGTTTGGGGGTTTAGGGAGCCTAACTGAAAAACCTAACTGACAAAACCTAACTGACAAAACCTAATTGAAAAAACCTACAAAACCTAACTGAAAAAACCTAACTGAAAAAACCTAACTGAAAAAACTAAAAAAACCTAAAGAACCTAAATCTCGAGAGTCTTGTCATGGATATCTCTCTGAAGGACTTCCCGAGTTTAGGTGTTTTAGGTTTTTGAGATTTTTTCAGTTAGGTTTTTTCAGTTAGGTTTTTTCAGTTAGGTTTTTCCGTTCGGCTCCGGGCACACTGTCTGAAGCTGTTTGAAGCCAAGTGCTCAGTTTACACATTCTGCGTTCTGTATTTTCGATCGGGCCATATAGATGCGGTGTTTGAGCGCGCGTCGTCGCTTCCCGACGAGATGATCGCAGAGGTTTGAGACTTTACACGTCGTGTCTGCGTTCAACTTGTTTACACGATGCTGATGCTCATAATGCTTCCTAAAAAGAGCACATATTCTAAAGTGAAGAACCTCAGAACCAAGCCGTGCCTACAGATCCTACAGAAAACGTAAGCTAGTCTGTAGGAGATTGCAGGTGATATTCTACAAGGCCTATAAAAGGCCTAGTATGTAACGTTGTTTTGGGCTCTCTATCGGGTACTCCATAACGCATTGTATAAGGGGTTGTGCAAGGCATCAACATGAACGTAAAGATTATCTTATAGAACGTATTCTTTAACCTAATGTATAGGCTATACGGCTATAGGGTACTCAATAAGGTATATATGAGGTATATAGGGGGCATTCTATAACGTATTACCTAGGGTCACCTGCTCGAAATTCTTTTGAGGTTTGTGGCATTCTTTAGGTTATTCTCTTCAACTCCTGGATCACTCCTAGAAATCCCTTACCCAATAGGCTGCTTCTTTATGAGGGGTTCTCAGATCTTGGGCTCGTTGAAAGGTTATCTATAGGTATTCTTACTTCCCAAATACCTATGGGGGTGTAAAAAGTTTAATTTTTCGCAATAAGATTACCTTATTAGGGGCCAAGAGTTGAAAAGTTTGGTTTTGAGCCACTAAGTGTTATATGGGTTCAGGGTATATATATATATATATACTGTATACAAGGACTGTCATGTATAGGGCCATATGGGCATTCTGTAAGGTCTTCTATAGAGTATTCCAGACGGTCTTCCATGAGGCGCACGACATATATAGGGTACTATGTGTTCCATAAAGTATTCTGTAGGGTACTCTATGTCGTATTCTGTAAGGTACTCTGGATATTCAAAAGATATACGGACTATGACTGAAAGTATATGATAAGATATTCTAGAGGCTCTAGGGTATTGAATAATGCATGAGGGTATTCTATATCAGTGCATTCCATATGAAAGGTTTCAAGATACATAGAGAAAGTATTCTACAGGACATCCTATAAGATATTCTATATAGTGTCTTGTATAGAGTGTCCTATAGGGTGTATGTAATATAATGCGTGCGGGGTGTATCATATATAGGTGGTCTTGTATACGGTATGCGACAGGATATTCAGATGGATTTCTACAAGATATGAAGGTTGTGAGAGTGGAATTTTGCAAAGTATTCCAAAATGTAATCTACAGGGTGCTTTATTGGTGAAATACAAGGTATTGAACCCTGAAAGGTTCGCTGGATTTCGTGTTCACGGACATTATCTATAATCTCGATGCGTCTTATATATGGGATGTGTAGAAATAGGGCCCTCTTTCATATCTATACTTGCCGTGATACTATGTTATATGGGATGATATATCTTTGCTCTCCTGTTGCGTGTTACCTTCAGAGCCCATATTGCTGCATGCAAAAACCTATACACACACAGAACATGCATGCAAGCTTGCGTTCTTTTGCAACGAGAAGAAGCCGTACGCGAAATTATGTCGCTTGGAAAAACTCAGGGTGTATATGAAGGAAATGCAGAATGTAGGATTTGCGAAATCTTTGATGCAGTCGAAGCGTATTTAGTGAAGGACTTGTAAAGAGAAGGGAATACGTTATAGAATATCAACTATTTCGCATCCGGCTCTCAAACACACGAAAAAGGTGGATCCTTGAGGGGGGGGGTAGCATATATATATATATACGTATATATATATATATATATATATATATATTTATGTATATGCATGTATATATACATATATGTATATATGTATATATATATATATGTAAGTATGTATATATACATACATATCTATGTATATATGTATATATGTATATGTGTATATATATATATATATATATATCTATATATATCTCTCTATATATATATATACATATATACATAATTTTACATACATACATAATATGCACACACATGCGCACACACACATGATTGTGTAGATAAATAAGCAAGCAAGTAAGCAAGTAAATAAATAGATGAATAAATACATATATTTTTTCCATAATTGCATTCGCACACATACGAATGCATATGTGTTCGCGCATGTACACACACACACACACGCTGCCATGTAGGTATGCATAAATTTGTACACGCCCGCATACAGCTCATACATATACCAAAGCTTACACACTGTCAAGTCTGTTGGGAGTTTGGGGGTAAAGATCGAGAGTTCTAAGGTCAAGGTTTCGGCGTTACGTCGTGGCAGGCGAGATGCAACAGATTGGGTTTTCTTCTAGAGCCCTTGTCGGAGTCTTGATGTGATGCTGGCATGGCTAGGTCTAGCTCGACGGGAGGTTTAGCGGAAAAGGTTTGTGAGTTGAGTGCATCTCCTGTACAGGTGTTGTGTGTGCGAAGCTTCGATTGAAGTGTGTCGTCTAAGGGCCAGAGTTCCTGCACGGAGTGGGCAGGGTTTAGGGTTTAGGGTTTCGGTGTTCAGCGGCTTTGAGATCCAGGCGGGCAAGTACAAGTCTGTGCAATAATCGTTTGGGTGTTGCAAGATTTGGGTTTTGTGGTTCAGCATGAGTTCGGATTGTAGGGTTTGTGCACGACATGTTGTTAACAGACAGAAACTAATGTGAATCTTACGTGTGTCTTAGCAGGAGTCAGGAGATGGAAGAGCTCGTAATCCTTTGAGAAGAAGCAGAAGCGCTCCTTGCTTTCCTTTGTGAGCCACACAAGAGCATGGTTTTTTCTTGGAACAATAGAGGAGCTCGCTTCATCATTCCTTCTCTGACAAGTACAGGTTGCTTGTTAGTCCATGCAGGCTCGCCTGAAGGGTGGGGTGTGGTGGCCAAGCAGGGCATCAAGGGATCATGGAAGCCGAGCATCTGCTCGTTGTCTTCCTACGAGACGTACCGGGCCCATTGATGCTCAGCACAAATCCGTTTGTACATGGATTTACGGAAATCTGTGAGAATCTCAACCGTTGGGTGAGTTTGAATATTTAGCTTGGCGCAATAAAAAGCTGCTGTGCAATGTTTTTTTGGATTGAATCGGCCGAAAACTGATGTCTACTCTCTTGCAACTATCAAGTTGTGCAAAAGACCAACTTTTTTTGTAACCGTGAGGTGCTTCCTCAAACGTGGACGTCAGGTTTGGACAGCAACAGACGCTTGTTATCATGTGTTGTACGTCACTGGGGGAATGCAGGGAAACTTCGGAGGATGGTTGTGAATCTCAAGAGGAGGCGTGATTATGTGCATACGCAAGGTGGGGATCGTGTGCCTGCGCTTTTGCGAGCTTTTTACGAAAGGATTGTCACAACAAGCGACCAGACAGAAACCATTTGCGGTCCGCTTGCATGCAAATTTTTGCTGAATGTGCACACATAAGCGATGTAGTCGTGGTGTATATGCAGACATGTCAATGAGCATGTGAACCCGGTTAGATGGCATGAGAGGGAACAGATTTATCTAGTTTTGTTATAAGCACACAGCGTCATAGCGCACTGTAGGCTGAAGCATGAATATTCAGGTACTGCCAGTATGTGCTGCACCCCAATGTGAGCCGACATGCATGCATCAATGCATGTATCCATGAATACATGCATAGATCACGCATGCATGCACACATGCATGCGTACATACATTACATACATGCCTAGATGCACGCATGCATGCATGCATGCAGTCATCCATCCATCTCTCCATCCATCCATCCATCCATCCATCCATGATAACGTGCAAGCATGCATACATGCATACATACATATATACATACTTCCTCACTTACATACTTACATGCTTACATACATACATACGTACATACTTACATGCTTACGTACTTACATACTTACACATACATGCGTACATGGTTGCGCCTTTGCGGGTCCCCTCAATCTCTTCCGCTTCCCTGCACGCCCAATGACCCCTAGCTCTGTGGTGCTTGTGCTGAACTGGTCGTTCGGTCTCTTAGAGTTCCCTGACCTTCTCTCAATTTCGGTCATCCCCTGTTCCCTTGTGGAAAGAAACAGCTCCCCAAGCCTCGGCAAGTCCGGATCATCTCGATGTTTGGGTAGCGGGCCTTGGCGCCAGAGGCCGCAGCTTGACCAGCTTACTTCTCCAGCAGATTTCCGACTTTGCTGGACATGGGGCATCAAACAGAGTGGAAAAGGGATCCTGGACTGGCCGGAAGGGGTGTGCGGTAGCCCTCAGGTGCCACATCCGCAGCTCCACCCGCTTTGGTTCTGAAATGGTACGAAGACCGGCCCGTGCTCTGACAGCACCATCACGCGGCTTGGGCCATGCCATCGGCATATGGCATATGGAATTAACATGCGACGACCTCGGCGCGCTGCAGCTACCGCCAGTGGTGCGCACAAATCTACCAGCCTTCCAAGTTGTCGGACATTGTCGACGATTATGGGGAGAACACACGTACTGAAATCGGCAGCCTCATTTCACAAGTTTTCGGCTTCACAGGGAAAAACGTCCGAGCCAATGCCTCGCAAGCCCTTTGCCAGCATGTTGGTTCCGGGAAATTGAAGAACTTGTCCACAGCGCGCTTCAGGCACAGATCTCGCAACCGACGCGCGGCAAGCCAAGTTCCATGGTGATTGGCACCAATGAAGGCTGCCTGGGGCATGTGGCAGGTGTTGGCAAATGCGTCCTGCGTGTGTTTGAAGGAGACGGGCGCATCAATGCAGCGCCGTCCCGGAAGGAATGTGGCACGCAGGGGCCATGGTTTAGGAGAGTATTGTGCCAATCGCTAATCCCCTACAGACCAGAAATTGTCAAACACCAACACCTGTACATGATATGCTGCAAGCACTGCGAAACTGTCCACAGCTCCTTGGCACAAGCTGGGTTTAGGGCGGCGTTCCACTCGAGAGGACGCCCCGGTGGCTTGACTGCATAGCCATGAGTTGCGTCGTCGTGTTGTTTCTCTCGAGAAGACAAGCTGCTCATGCGAAGCGGAGGTGACATATGGATGGCAAAGATGGGGGTGCCCTTGGAGGGGCCATAGGCCCGAAATGTTACGATAATGCAGTTTGAGCTGTGCTTCCGGTGTGTCCAGGATCCGACAATCCAGCGATGATGGGGTGTGGGTGCGGCACGGGCGGCATGAACCCGATGGGAGGGATGTGTGGCATGGGCCCCATGTGTGGTGGTGGGATGGCAGGAATGCCCATGGGCGGGGGAATGATGGGCAAAGGAGGAATGCCCGGGAGCATGCCAGGCAACATGCCCGGAAACATGCCAGGTGCCATGGGCGGAGGAGGCATGGGAGGGATGGGGACCATGATGCCAAACATGATGGGCAACATGGGCGGCACAATGGGCAATGGCATGATGGGTATGGGGGGCATGAATCCCATGATGGTCGGAGCCTCATATTGTTGCGTGGTCTTGAGAGTTATGGGTAGCACCTCCCTGCTGCTTCAAGGCCATGATGGGCATGATGATGGGAATGCAGGCCGCGATGGGTAGTGGCGAAACAGCCGATGCAACTCCTACCATAAAGGCCGAAGACAAGCATGCCTTTTGGTAGCAGAACCAGCACGGCGCATGACCTTGACATTTTGAGTCGGATATAGTCAGATAGAGCCAGAGCTCATGTATGTGCCGAGGTAGATGCCCGGGTCAAGGCGATCTGCAACGACTTTGGCATCAGTGGCGACACTGTCATGAGGCTACTGGGTGTGTGCGAAATTGAACTGCAAGATGACGTGCTCGTTTTGGCCTTGCAGGCTAAACGATGCAATGAGAGAACGAGAAGACTACGATGAAGACCTTCAAGCCCTTCACAAACTGATGGAAAGAGCCACTAAGGACACAATCGTCTCGTGCATCCTGAATATCGCATCGCAAGCAAGTGCGGGGTTGAGTAGGAAGTGCCTCTTCTGGGTAGCCCATAGTGACTTCCCCGTGCAGGACGGCAAGAAGCCGCTAGAAGTGATGCTCGCCCAGATCCGGGCAATACGGGCGAACCGATTTCCAGGGAAGGACGCCGGGCATGTGCACATTAAACTTGGGCTATATCGATACCCCTTTGTCGTTGGCCAGGAGCTTCTGGATCCAGAGGTCTGGGAATTTATTTGTAAATACAACCTCGACGACCGTGTCATGAATCGGCTCATTGACACGCTGAACAACCGAAAAAATAAAAGGAAGGACACCCTGCAGGTACGCTGCTGGATGTTGCGGCTTTGCATTGCGTCGTTGCGTTGCGTCTCACTCCGCCCGTCGGAGTGTCTTTGTTGCAGGCTTTGAATGACCGGCTAGGGAACGCCCAGCAGCCCACAGGCCTTGGTCTTTTGGCAGGCAGCTCAGCCTCTCAGCATGAGGCTCTCGGTGTTCTCGACTGGCAATGAAGTGGGTGTTTTCGAGGTTAGATTGCTTGAAGGCTTGGACGAGCCGGGCCCTCAGCCCTCAGCTCCCCCTTCAGCCTTCGGTGCGTGTGCATCGATCTGGAGGACGGGCCGCCTGCCATCACCACCCAGGCGGCTCGGTGGCTCCGGGACCTTCAGTGGCCCAGATGCGAGCATAGATCTGAGGCTGCAAGGCTGCAATCCTCGTGTTCCAATGATCTTCCAGTAGCCTTGCCAAGGACCTACCGGCACGTTCTTGCACCCGCAATCATCGCGAAGCGCTCAGCTGATGCGGGATTCACGCTCTGCTTGAATGGGCTATTGGCAGGACGTGAGTGGCTGAGGTCCCGAGAGGCTCGTGAAGGTCGCGAGCAGGAAAGAAGCCGCCTGGATGCTTTTACCAGACTGTTGTCCGCCGCACTGCCTGTTTCAGACAGTTGATGTCGAGTTGTGTGCCGAGCTTTGTTTTGCCTTTCGGATTGCTGGTCTGTTTCGAGACGGAACGAAGGATGTTCGGATTTTTCCAACCAGGATCAAGCCCTCGCGTTTGTAAGGTAGAGGTACTGTGTTGTCTCTCATCTCCGAAGCCACCTAGTGACATGTAATGTATTGGTATCTGAATGAATTTTTTGCGAGGTCGAGGTCGGCGCTCCGAGAAGCGCTCTCGCTCGCGGTCCCCGCGGTCGCGGGGTCGAGACTCGCGGCGCTCGCGCTCTGGGCGGCGACGCTGAGAGCTTGGTGAGAGCGCGGCAGGGAGGGAGACGTCCACTCTGATCCGCGGTTCGCACCTTCGTACACACCTCAACCCCGCAATTCACATCCCAAATCAGCTTCTGCAGCCAACGACGTGCCCTTTGGCTTGCATTTGCAACCCTGTCCCTCATAATGTAAGCGGCGGCATGCAGAGCCACCAAGCTCCACGAGGATCCGTGGCAAAACCGCTCCTGCACCCTCCGAGTTTGTCACAATGCGGAGGACAGCGAGCAAGCGCTGATTATGGCACCCGAAGAAGGAAAAAGGGGCAGCTGCGCGCGTGGATTTTGAGCTTATGTTAGGGGCTTCGACACGAATGAAGAATACAGCTCCCGGGAGCATTTGGGTTGTGTGCAGTTCTGGCTGAGGGCAGCAGTGACGATGCGGCATGATGTCAAGTGTGCATACTTCGATCTTGATGCCAGGCACACTCAGCCTTCGTGACTGAATGCTACACTACGCAGCAGTAAAGAGCATGGAAGGCATGCTTCTGAGGCTTTCTCCTGTGACGAAGCAGTCGACTGCGGTGACGCTGAAGGCCGGGGTTTGTACACAGTCTTATTCACTCTGTGCGGCCTGGTTCGGATCATTTTCAATCTGTCCATCTGCAGTGTTGGCTCAGCTGGCTCGCAGCTGCTAATTATGTTTACGAAAGGCAAAGCTGGCAAGCAGAAGCACGGCAGCCACTCGCTGTCTGAAAGCAGCTGGGGGCACTCAGGGAAGCATGGGAAAGGTTCCTGGAAAGGACACGTGGCCCGATACTAGCACTCTTCTAGCTGGCTGTAGATCCAAGGCTGTTGCTGCTTGCAGCTTTAGCGGTCGCTTGTGCTGTTAACCACTGGTGTTGCTTCTTTCTGGTTTTGGTGTTTGTCGAAACAGAAAACATTCGGGGGAATTGGCATCATTTGTCACTGCCATGCCCTGGCCACGCCGGTTGAGCCGTGAGCTCTAAGTCGAATCCATCCACGGAGCATGAAGTGGGCCGGGTAGTTTGGCAATCTTCACATGCTGCAAATGGATTGGGGGTGGCACAACTTGGCAAACGCAACCTGTGAATGGGGTCCCCGAGTCCCCCAGACCTCGCAAGTCCAGAACAAGAGCAGCTGGACAGCAAGCAACTAATTTAGGCACGAAATGCGCAAACCTTCCGCGCTGATTGCGGCGCATTGTGAGAGTTGAAGGGTGCCGGCAGCCGGTCTGTTACAGAACCTGTGGTGCCAAACTAGGGCGTCCGCGCAGTTTCTGTGCAACAAGTGCTGGCTTAATTAGAGCCGCAGGACGTGGAGAAGAAGAGTTCCGATGCCCCACCCCCTCTTGCGACTCGACGTCGTTGGAGAGACTCTGGCAAGGCACACGCTTCTCAAACGAATGGGTGCCTTTTTGCTGCAGTGAAATGCTCTTCCTGGAGGTTTGGAGCCCGAGCGAGGCGACTGCATTTCGCCGCATCAGCCGATGTACGCCTTTGACAAGGGCCATGTGCTTGGTGGTGCTGGGGAGATGTACTTCGAAATTCTCGGCAGGTAGGGAATGGCAGTAAGAAGTTACTGGAGGGACCAGCTGTCCTTCTGTTCTCCGTATCTACTATTTGCTTCTTCGGCATATAATCCGCCTTACTATCATGCCATATCATATCATACCGTGCTAAATTACTGGACCATGTAGCGTTGCACCAGAACAAGTGATAAAAATGCAAAGGCCAGACTGGCGACTGACCGACTGCCTGACTGACTGACCGGGAGCATGAGTCGACTGACTGACCGAGCGGACTGACTTAGTGTCTAGCACTGACTGACTGGCAGGCGGGAGTGTGAACTAACCGTTTGACTGGCTGCCTGCCTGCCCGCCTGCCTGCGCGTCTGGCTGACTGACTGACTGACTCAGCGACTGACCGGCGCCTACACACGCGCGCACGGGGACCCGCGATTTTCAAGAACCTCATGCTATCAAGAGGGAAGCTGTACCAACCCAGATGAGTCCAGTCCAAATTCGTGATTGTAGCTCCCGGGCTTGTTTCGGAATGCAAAGCAGGGATCAACAACTTTCTAGAAGAGGCTCAACAATTATCATCGGGATGAAAAGAAAGTTGAACTATGCTTTCAACTATCGCCCATGGAGAGGCGGGAGTAAGAAACGCAATAAACAACGTGATCGACCGGCGTCGTCGAATGAGATGGAGGGTTCAGGACATGTCAACCGCCATCACCCAATGATGGGGTGGGCTTAGGAAAATGTGACCACCGCCATCGCCTCATGAGGAGGCGTGTTCAGAAGAATGTGATGGACTGCCGTAGCCTAATGGGGGGAAGGTTCAGGACATGTGATCAACCGACATTCACCTAATCAAGAGGCGTGCTTGACACATCTGTTGAATCGCCATCGAATGGCAAGGGGAACGGTTCAAGACACAAGAACAACCGCCAGCGCTGCACGAGGGGGCGGGTGTAGGAAATGCGATCAACCGCAAAGGGCTGGTTGAATAAGTTTTCTCAAGTCTGCATCGGCTCGAGTGGGGACTAACATATTGGGGAATTTTTCCCCAATATGTTAGTGCTTAGAACAGCTGATCGAGCGCCGTCGCCTGAGGAGGGGCAGGGTCAGGAAATATGCTCTACCACCATCGTATACTGAGGGGCGGCTTTGAAGCAATGTGATAAACCGCCGTCGCCTACTGAGCCGGAGGGTTCAGGACATGTCGTCAACCGCCTTGTGAGGGGGCGCTGCAAAACCTGTGATCAACCAGAATCGACGTAAGGAGCGGCGAGCTAGAGACTTGTGATCAACCGCAATCGGCTAATGAGGGGACTGGCTTCACATATGAACTGGGAGCAAGCGCCAAAAAGAACAACTGCCCGGTCGAAGAGACAGCAGCACGACAGGAGGAAGGAGGGAACATACATACCCGCCCCACCCACACACGCTTCTCAACTTCCCAAGGTACATACCCTTAAGGTGCTTATCTGCATGCATAACCGGCCTACACAACGACGCTCTACCCCTCGGCCCACATTGACGTTCAAGACACGTAATCACCCGACATCGCATGATGAGGGGACGTCGCCAAATGGTGATGAGCGGCCATCAACTGCCATCACCTAGCAAGGGACTGTTTCAAACCTCCGTCGCCGGATGAAGGGGCAGGCTTCAGACATGTGATCGACCACAAGTATGCAGGGCGGGGGCGGGGGGGGGGGGGGGGGGGGGGGGGGTGAGTGCGGCCTAAACCGGGTTTATTTGGAAGCTGCCTTTTTTTATTAGTGAGGAAAAACCACTCTAAGTCCCTCTTATGTACACAAAAGGCCGCTTCCAAATAAACCCTATTGGGGTTTCTGGGGGGGTCGGGGCCGGGAAATAAACAATTTAAATATTGGGGGAGGGCCCCGGAGGGCCCCGGATTTAAAGTATTCAAATTATGTAATTCCCGGCCCCAATTAAATTATTTCAATAAAATAATATATTTAAATAAAGAATTTCAATAACTTAAATAATTTGAATCCTGGGGAGGGGGGTCCGGGGGTGTTCCGGGACCGGGGAATTAAGTAATTTGAATATTGGGGGAGGGCCCCGGAGGTCCCGGACCCTCCCCTGGACCCACCCCAGGATTTAACATAGTTAAATTATTTAAAATATTTAATTCCCGGCCCCAATTAAATTATTTGCATAATTTAAATATTGGGGGAGGTCCCCGGAGGGCTCCGGGTTTAACCTATTTAAAATAATTAATTCTCGGCCCCCTGGGGGGGGGGTCCCGGGGGAGTCCGGGACACCAGGAAGTAACTAATTTTAATGATTTAAATCCGGGGCCATCCGGGGCCCTCCCCCAATATTTAAATTAGTTAAATTATTTAATTCCCGGGTCCCGGACCCCCCCCCGGACCCCCCTCCCCAGGATTTAAATCATTTAAATTATTTAAAACATTTAAATTATTTAATTGGGGCCGGGAATTGATAATTTAAATAATTTAAACCCGGAGCCCTCCGGGGACTTCCCCCCATTTAAATTATGCAAATAATTTAATTGGGGCCGGGAATTAAATTAAATAATTTAAATAATTTAAATCCTGGGGGGGGGGGGGGTCCCGGGGAGGGTCCGGGACCCCAGGAATTAAATAATATAAATCCGGGGCCATCCGGGGCCCTCCCCCAACATCTAGATTTTTTAAAATACTTAATTCCCGGGTCCCGGACCCCCCCCGGAACCCCTCCCCAGCATTTTAATTATGTAAATTATGTAGATTATTTACTGAGCGCCGAGAATAAATAATTTAAATGATTTAAATCCGGAGCCCTCCGGGGACTTCCCCCAATATTTAAACTATTTAAATGGGGCCGGGAAGTAGACAATTTAAATAATTTAGATAATGTATAAAATTTACATAATTTAAATCATATAAATCCTGGGGGGGGTCCCGGGGGGGGTCCGGGACCCCAGGAATTAAATCGTTTAAATAATTTAAATCCGGTGCCGTCCGGGGCCCTCCCCCAATATTGAAATTATGTAAATTATTTAATTCCTGGGTCGGACCCCCCTGTCCAGGATTTAAGTCATTTAAATTATGTAAATTATTTAATCGGGGCCGAAAGTTAATAATTTAAATAATTTAAATCCGGAGCCCTCCGGGGACCTCCCCCAATATCACCAGGAATGAAATTATTTCCATTATTTAAATTGTTAAATTGGGGCCGGAAATTAAATACTTTAAATAATTTAAATCCTGGGGAGGGGTCTGGGGGGGTCCGGGGCCCCCACCCCATCCTGCACCCCCACCCCACCCCACCCCACCCCACCCTCCCCCTTATTTATCATAAAAACCTTTAGGGGGACACCCCTTGCGATCTGTGATTTTGGGATCTGAGTTCTTACAAAACCTTAGGTGGACACCCCTTGCGATCTGTGATTTTAGGATCTGAGTTCTTACAAAACCTTAGGGGGACACCCCTTCCGATTTGTGATCTTGGAACTTATTTGTTATAAAAACCTTTAGGGGGACACCCTTTGCGATCTGTGGTTTTCTGATCTGAGTTTTGACAAGACCTTAGGTGGACACCCCTTGCGATCTGTGATTTTGGGATCTGAGTTCTTACAAAACCTTAGGGGGACACCCCTTGCGATTTGTGATTTTGGAACTTATTTGTTATAAAGACATTTTGGGGGACACCCCGTGCGATCTGTGGTTTTCGGATCTGAGTTTTCACAAGACCTGAAGGGGACACCCCTTGCGATCTGTGATTTCGGGACCTGAATTCTTACAAAACCTTGGGGGGGACACTTGCGATCTGTGATTTCGGGATCTGAGTTCTTCCAAAACCTTAGGGGGGACACCCCTTGCGATATGTGAGTTTGGAACTTATTTGATATAAAAACCTTTAGGGGGACACTGCTTGCGATCTGTGTTTTGCGGATCTGAGTTTTCACAAAACCTTAGGGGGGACACCCCTTGCGATCTGTGATTTTGAGATCGGCATTTTTGCAAAACCTAAGGGGACATTTCTTGCGATTTGTCATGTTGGGATCTAGCTTGCGCGAAAGCCTTTAGGGGG